AAAAAGCCTCTTCAAAGGTGTCAAAATTTGCTTTGTTGCTGAGCTTTTGACTTGGATAAGCCCTTTTCCATTTATTACTTGCTGCACCCAGAGTGACTTGGAAGCAGATGACCCATAAGCTGGATAGAATTGCAATCAATGGTACTATTATGTGACACATATAAGTAGTAATGTTACGTGATGTACATTTAGAGATGTGTTAACCGGTCTTGTCAGTCTGCTTTGGCTGTTATTTAAACCTAATGGGTAAATATAAAGGGTGAGAATGATTTTACACCAGTCAAATACAGTACACTGTACATGTGTGTATATCCTTACAACCTGTATTTGATGGCTTAACATAATATTGTTTTAGTGATTCGTGTTGGTAGTATTTTAGTAATAGCACAAAAATATGGTCAATGAGCAAAACGTCTGCAGGCACATATTACATGTACAGTGTATATGCTAAGCCATCGAGTGAGGGACTTGTTATTCCACTATTACGTTAATCTTAAATGGTGATGGCTTCACTGAGATCTTGCCTACATGTGGTAATGTGAGATCAAGCTTTGTTTGTACATTTTTTCTGTAATAGAGTGAAAATGTACAGTACATCGCATATGTGAAAATCTGATATTTTCAGGTCTCTTGGTATCATATCACCAGTCCATTCAGCAGGCTTTGTTGCCACAACTAACGAGTGCAAGACTAGCAGTCCGAAAGAGAACAATCATTGCACTTGGTATGAAAGTTACCTCTAGTTTGATTTAGTTAAGTAAACATGGTTTCATTACCATCCAAGCTAAGGTACATTGTAGAATCCTAATTTTTCAAACCACTCTGGAGAAAGGTGATTGGTTCAAAACATTAAGAGATTTGAAATTTTAGGCTACATTTCTCAAAATGTTTTTTTTTCAAGGGAGCAGACATTGTTTCGATGATCAGGAGGTTTGAAAAATCAAGCCGTTGAAAAATCAGCATTCCAGTGTGCAGTGCAGTGTAATGATGGGTGCAACTTTGGGTCTTTCATGTGTAAATATAAAGAAAAACATCATCTACACTGGGCTCGAAATTAACTTTTTCGTTCGGGAGCCAGCTGGCGACTAACGGAAAAATTTTGGTTGCCAGATCGTAAATTTTGGTTGCCAACTTATTTTATAAATAACTTACACAAGAACACGATTTTATATGTTACTTTGCATGTAAGAAAAGTCACAATTGAAGAGCGAAAACAATAAGAAACAACACGAGTAACCCTTAGTTATAAAGCTACCGTTATTCTCAGGTCATATGTCTCTGGTCCAAAGGTGACAGTTGTCTCCATAGTCATTTTATTTTGAAATGAAGCGAAGCATAAAACGTTTTTAAGTCCGTGGTTTTCATTGTGAGACAGACACGGATCCTTGCGTATTTTCCCTTTGCTACTTCTTCGAAATGCCGTTCTTTATTTTCGACTTGCTTTCCTCGAAGAATTCAAAGTTTGGATTAACCTTTTGGCTGAATCTTCATTCCCCGCACGTAAAAACTCTCGTAATTCCTTCAACTGATTGGTGTCTGCTGCCATTTTCGCCGCAAATAAAAGCACATGGTGTTGAAGTGCGCCTGCGATCCCAGTTTTGGAAGAAGCCGCTGAAACAGTATGGCGCACCGTGAAAGCAGTATCGACCTTTTGAAATACATTCAATTTTTTCGATTATCTTGTAATATTCAGACATTATTTACTGGGAACGGAAAGGTGAGTTGTAAACTAGCTACCATATCCAATTGATTTCCTAATATAAAGATTTAAAAACAAAAGTTGTGTCGAGGTTTTCTTTAGTTACCGGACAAAATGCGAGTCACCAGCTGACGACCAGTTCTGAAAATTTAGTCGCCAGTGCTCAATTTTTGGTCGCATTGGCGACCAGTGAGTTGCAATTTCGAGCCCTGTCTACAACATAAACTCTCTGTTCTTCTGGGAATATTTCCTGATCATTCCTTTATTAATACTAAATCTTTGTTCTTGAATTGCAGGCCATCTTGTGCTAAGTGCAAACAGTAGCTTGTTTGTTGAATTGATGGATCACTTGTTAGCTGAGCTGAAACAAAATGCCTCACATTCCACCACTAGGACTTTTATTCAATGTATAGGAGCAATATGGTAGGAGAAACTCATGATACAACTTTTAAAAGACATATTTCGGCATGACTAATGCTTAGGGTGGATCTAGGGGACTTCGGGTGGCTGAACCCCCTAAATGAAAAAAATGAGACCTTATAACACGCTGACTTGACCTCAGAATGCTGGAAATCCCATTTCCAAGGACCTCAATTCCCCTGGAACCCCCCTTCAGGGGACTGCCTTCAGCACTCCGTATCTTGAACCCCCCACTCTATAATCCTGTATCCGCCCTGACTATGCAGTCGTCAGTTTCTTGAAAATTAATCCAACAATGCTTTATACCTAACTTCACTTTAATATTTTTGTATGTAATGTAATTAATATATATCTTGCATGGCAGTCGCCAAGCAGGCCACAGAGTTGGAGAGCATTTGGAGAGGATCATACCGATGATAGTGCAGTATTCTAAAGTTGAGAATGATGATGAGTTGCGAGAATACTGCATTCAGGTGAGATGAAAAGTTAACGACCAGTTTGATGGGATTTTTCAATTCCTTGGCAACTAGACTGATAGTTAAAGTAAGTGAATGTTAACTAAAAGTACAATGCACTGTACATGTAAATCCTCTTCTACACATGTAGACCCCCTCCACCCTCAAATATCAGCGCCTCCCTTTTCGGGCAAAACATTTTGTCATTATAGTGTGGACATGTACTCTAAGCTTTAGTTTCTGTCTTGTTAGCCTCTCCTAAATGTTTTCCTCTGCAGTCACAACTAAAGAAATTATTATTAATAATGGATTCATTTTGAGCCATGCCAATCCAGAGAATAAGTCACATTTCATAAATTTAAAGTACTCCACTTGCTCTGAGGCCACCCTCAACAATACCCAACTTCCACCCCCCTCCCTGACTCCTGCAATAAAATACATTGTATATTTACTGTACATGTAGCTTCTGGAGGGCCTAATAGAAAACTTGCAGTACTACTTAAGATACATGTAAGACAGTAAATGATTGTATAACAAAGTTTGTTTTATTGTTTTGCAGGCTTTTGAGTCCTTTGTGTGCAGATGTCCAAAGGAAGTTACCCCGTACATTCCAAAGGTAAATGCAAGAAACTGATATTTGGTAGTCTTCATGTGCATGAATTTCCAGGGACGTAGCTAAAAGCCAGCTGCTGGCTAATTTCACCAGCTGAAAGAGAACTAATCACTGGCTGAAATCTCACTGGAAACCAAACTTAATATGAATTGCAAGGTGCAAATTAGGTCAGAAAAGCCATCCATGGTTGTTAATAAGCCTGATGATTTTTTTCTTAGTTGCATCCCTGAATGCCCATTGGTAATTGAATAGTATTCATAAACAATTTTCTCAAGAATTACAGTCAACAGAAGTTTTCACTTTTAGACTGTTTTTACTTGACAAAAAATAATAATTTATACTGTATATGTTATGCTGTGTGATTGACTTAAAAAACTTGTACCACTTTGTCATCCAATCAGAAGTACAAAAACAACAACAAGAACATTATTCCAGAATTCCCATTTCTATGCATGGTATTACTTAAATACAATCGTGATAAATACAATTAATAACAGTTACATACATGTACACAATTAATAAATAAAGAAGAAAAATTGTGTTGTCTCACTCACACTCATTTTTCAAAGCTTGGCGTCAGCTACACTGTACATATATTTGCTGCCAGTTTGGATTGGTTTGTTGGATTATCTGTGTCCTCTGGTTGGCTATCTGGAGTGATTACTGGTTTTGGTTTTCAAGACAGTCACCATTCAAAATTGCACGAAAAAGTAAAAAGTGTTCAACCATGTACAAGTTGCGGAAAAAATATTTTGTCCTGGTACTATACGGCTATTATCATCTACAGCTGATTCTTCGGTACACGTTATTTGTGATGGTTTGACTTGTGGTTTTCATGTAGTTTGCAGTTGTAACAGCTTTGTTGTTGTTTCACAGATTACAGAGCTCTGCTTGGATTTCATTTGCTACGATCCAAACTACAACTATGGAAGTGATGATGAAGATGAATTCATGGAAACAGACATAGAGGATGATGAAGAAGAGTAAGTGACCCTGTACTGAATTGTTTTCCTGGACTCTTTCAGTCTGGACCTCATTATCCATATTGGCAAAATTTTGGAATAGAACATTACAATACAGTATGTACGTAATAATTAATGTTCCACAACCTTGTTACCAGGGTCTTGTCTCTTCCTCCCTCAAGAAAGTAGGTTCCATGTAGACCTTAAAAATGAGCATTTTGTTCTCCACATGCACCCATATTTTGGCTTTTCCCCCCAAAATTGCAGCAGAATGTTCCAAAACATCATTTGAAGAAAGAAACTAACATTCCCTTTCATCTTGATGCAAATAACTTTGGTACAAGGAAATGGCACAAAATTGTACATACAATCCATGATCACATACATTTGTGGGGGAACAGTGGCCAAATAGTTGCTGCACTGTCCTCAAAATCCTCATGTAGAATGAGCAGTCCTGGTTCAAGTTTGTACTTGGGAAAGACACTATTCTCACAGAGCCTTTTGCCAATCATAATGTACATGTATGAACGGGTTCCCGCCCAGTAAAGCATCGGGGCTGGGTGTTCCACCAATGACAACCCACCGATGGACTGAAATTCTAACCAAGGAGCCCAGGGGAGGGGGAGAAGAAACACTGCCAGTTGCTTCAGGCTATAGAAACTGAATAAAATGGCAGTCATGTGGGCCACTAGGATCCTGGGAAAGTCTTGCTTCTTGTGTATTAACCAACTACATTCTGTTTATTTAGGGAGGAGGATGATGACTACAGCGATGATGATGACATGAGCTGGAAGGTAAGAAGACAAAACTTTTGCGTACAGTGGACATTCATTTTCGTGTAATAACAGACTGACTCAATGAGTTAGTGGTGCATTGGAGATAGAGAATACATGTACATGTACATATAGTTGTAGAAAAATAGAAATAAAATAATGACCTTTACACTCCATTAGTGTCTTCTGTGAATCCACTCCGTTCCAGGTAGTGGTCAGAGCAGGACTTAAACCTGCACCTCCGGATTTCAAGTCCAGCTCTCTAACCACTTAGCCACACTACCTCAAAGGCTTGTCCATCGTCTGTTGTGTTGTGCTGTGTTCTTGGGCAAGAGACATGAATCACAAAGAACCTTTCTCTACCCATCTGTTCATAATAGTAAGCTGCATGACTTGTAGTAGCATTCCTCTTTTCTCGTGTTTCAAAAACTGGCAGGAGATGGTGTATGCACTGCAGTATGAACTACTAAAGCTTGCCACTGGTGTCAATCACTGAATGATTGCCTGTTGGTATTTTAGGTTCGCAGGTCTGCAGCTAAGTGTTTGTCAGCCGTGCTGGGATCACGACCAGAACTACTGTCCGAGTTTTACAAATCAGTTTCTCCAGCACTGATTGCCAGATTCAAAGGTATGACAGCAAACTGATGTATGTCATAATTCAAAAGTTCTGTCACTGCCTTATAATCAAGAAATTTTCACCGTACAACATTCACACCAACATAATGATGATGAAATAATATTTGAAAGGACCTTTAGGAAGTCTTATACATGTATTAAGTGCTGATTGTGTTTGCAATACAATGGTTGCAAGAATTATTTGGTTCAAATGCTTATACATGTACCGTGGAATCCTGAATGATCCCTCCCCTCAGTCAAACGCTGTAATTTTATCCCCGATTTTTGGAGCCACCAGATGTTTCAAACCAATTGTTGTTTCCTTTGGAGGTTCAAAAAAATCAGGTTTTTACTGTATGTTGTACATGTATATCCATTCTGTGATGCTTATGAGTAGCTGCTGCTCTCTTAGTCAGTGCTTTCTTTCACAAAAAAAATAAATTGTACACCTCGATATTATAGACAGTTCATTTGGTCTCAGGGAAACCAGAATTAACACTGTACATATACATGATATTGACCTCTTTAATACAGAAGTCTGGAGCTGATTATTGGTAATAGAAATACCAATCTAAACCTCATCCTTGTGTAACCACTGTAAATGTCAAAATATTTGCTCCTCTAATTGTAGCATGACATGTTGAAATATACAGTGTGTACAACCACGCACTTTCCTCAAGAAACAGCAGAGCAAGGTCATCCATGTTGTACTACTGATTAATTGTGTTTACAACCACACAAGATCACTCGCCAATGGCACTTTTTGTTGTCATGTGAGATACTCTGACACATTGACACATGCAATCAAGTGGGTTTAATGCGTGGATAATCTATGCGACTACACTACTATTAATGGTAACATAAAATGCTCAGTTGGTCTTTNATAATTCAAAAGTTCTGTCACTGCCTTATAATCAAGAAATTTTCACCGTACAACATTCACACCAACATAACGATGATGAAATAATATTTGAAAGGACCTTTAGGAAGTCTTATACATGTACTATGTGCTGATTGTGTTTACAATACAATGGTTGCAAGAATTATTTGGTTCAAATGCTTATACATGTACCGTGGAATCCTGAACCAAAAGTCGATCCCTCCCCTCAGTCGAACACTATAATTTTATCCCTGATTTCTGGAGCCACCAGATGTTTCAAACCAATTGTTGTTTCCCTTAGAGGTTCAAAAAATATCAGGTTTCTACTGTAGGTTGTACATGTATATCCTTTTGTGATACCAATGAGCAGCTGCTGCTCTCTTAGTCAGTGCTTTCTTTCTCAAAAAAATAAATTGTACACCTCGATATTATAGACAGTTCATTTGGTCTCAGGGAAACCAGAATTAACACTGTACATATTTATGATATTGACCTCTTTAATACGGAAGTTCGGAGCTGATTATTGGTATTAGAAATACCAATCTAAACCTCATCCTTGTGCAACCACTGTAAATGTCAAAATATTTGCTCCTCTAATTGTAGCATGACATGCTGAAATATACAGTGTGTACAACCACGCACTTTCCTCAAGAAACAGCAGAGGGAGGTCATCCATGTTGTACTATTGATTAATTGTGTTTATGACCACATAAGATCACACGCCAAGGGCACTTTGTTGTCATGTGAGATACTCTGACACATTGACACATGCAATCAAGTGGGTTTAATGCGTGGATAATCTATGCGACTACACTACTATTAACGGTAACATAAAATGCTCAGTTGGTCTTTGGAAGACTGAGTGGCTGTACCCAGGCTGTCAGGGTAGATAATAAAGGGAAATTTTGAAGGAAATATCCATTTGAATTTCTCTTTCAGAGAGGGAAGAGAATGTGAAGGCTGACATATTTGCAGCTTATATCACCCTCCTGCGGCAAACCAGACCTGTGGCCAGCCAGACACTTGATGCTGATGATATGGAGGATGATTCAGGGTAGGATGCAAAATAATATGTACATCATAGACATACTCACTGTAAACAACAGCAACAAAAAAACCTACCACTTACAACTTACCGTTTGTTGCAGTTTTTTGTTACCGTTTGCTGTTTTCTAATGCTTGGAAGTTTCCTTACTGCTCTGACTTTGAATCCAATCCACTTGGAAGTGCAAATGTTACAGTACCATTGCAACATGACAAAGTTCTTGTCTTGAGTAATTTTTGGCGACTTTTTTGCATCTTTCTGACTGTCCTCTGATGGTTTCTCAGTAAACTAGCAAAGTTAATTGGGAAGACTGTTGGAGACAGAAACTAATACATTATTTTTATAAGTAAATCGCTCATTTGACCATTTCACCAGAAACGTTCAGAATGTTATCAGAAAGTAGTCAAAAACTTGTAAAAACTTTGACGAGTGGCAACAGTATGGCAGTCTTTACTTTAACGGCCTCCTGAGCTTGAATTCCAAATACGTTACAAAGGAGGGTAACTTATGTCAGATTAATAACTGCGGCTTCTATACAACAGATCATTTTAGCTGTGATTATACTACTGTGTCATACATGCATGTACTTTTGTTCTTGTGTTGTAGACCAGTGAATCTCTTAACCAGCCAGATACAGTCTATTGTCAGAGCTCTGCACAAGCAGCTCAGAGAAAAAAGTGTCAAAACCAGACAGGTAAATACAGTTTTCTGTCAGGGGCATTGGGTGTGGGGGGGTGGGTATACGGTGTAGTTGTAAATCTTTGCAGACCAGCTTTGTACTCATGACGACATGTGTACATTGTGCAAATCATTCTTTGTAGTGAAACGTTAGCTTAAAATCTGGGAAGACGGTAAGAGTGCAGTTTCTCCTTGCTCTTAGCTCCCCCCCCCCCCCCCCCCCCCC